TGGGCTGCGGGAGTCTCTGCAGAGGGTAATTAATCTGCTGTTGCCCCCGGGGGAGCCGAGCCGCTGCCTCCGCTTTGGGCAGCGCAACGAAGTGCTGAGGGTTGCTGTCTACACGCTGTGACCTTCTTTGGGCCCTTCGGAAATCACCAAGGGAGCTGGGACTCCTTGTTTTTAAAAACGGGGTGGCGAGTTATACAGCTCAGGCTTTTAACTCCCGAGGTCCTTCGCTCAGTTCTTCACCAGTCAGCCAAGAGTGCCCCTGCCATCCAAACACAGATGCATCAGCATTTATAGACAGGATTTTTGCCTTGTAAGATGCATCAGCATTTATAGACAGGATTTTGCCTTGTAGAAAACATTTTGGGACGTGGCGGAACAAAAAGGTGCAGACAACCTTGGAAAGCGCGTGGGCAATTAGGCAAACTGCTTCACGTGCGCATCTAAAGCAAACAGGGAAAACTCTGCTGATACAACAGTACAGTCAGGTGTCTTCTGCGCTGCTGAAGCTCTGATAAGAGTTGCGTGGTCTGAATGCCCTTACAAATGTCCATTTAAGACAAGTGCTGCAGGTGCACGTCCGAGGTAAAGGGGAAGAGCAGCCTGGATGCTCACCAGGTTTACCTCCTCTCTTCCGCGCGGCAGAGCCGCAGCGTGCAGGCCGTGGCCACGTTTTCAGTATGCCTGCAGTTCTGCAGACAGCTCAGCAAAAGCAGCAGCCTGTCCTTAATGTGGATGGCAGGAAAACGTGGCAATAGCATTGTGAACTGCTCGGCTAGTTAAAATGCTGCATAACGATACCGAAGGGCCAGCAGATCCTGCGCTCGCGTGTCTGAGGCAAGCGGCAATAGTAGCTGGCTGGAGGAGAGGACGGTATGCAGCAGTCCTAGTTTTTTTTCCATATGGTAGCACCTTTACAGCCAGTGGTTTGAAATACTCAGCCTTGGTTTTGCTAAATTTTAATGACATAGTTGGGGAAACTGCCAACTGCAGCTCTGACGAGGGGCTGTCGGCACGCGGGGCAGGGGGTTCCCGCACCAAGCACGGCGCGACCTGGACGCTGGCTGCGCCCGGCGGTTCCCGCCAGCGTGATGCTCTAGGCTCAGAGGCACCCGAGCAAGCTACACAAGACTGGATCAGTATTTTAAATATCTGCAGCTGGCAGGCTTGGTGGCCCACGTTTAGATGTCTACTTCCAGGCTATTTTCTGCGTAGTTGTTTTTCCGTGGCCGCAGACCCACAGGAAGAGACCATAAACCAGTGGTTAACTAAACTGACTGTGTAAGATCTCCAAGTTTCCTGCGTAGCGCCTTTGCGGCTTTGCAGGAGAAGCGTGGCTGCTCGGGCAGTTTCTGCTGACCTCGGGCGTTAGCTCAGTGCAGGCGGAGGAGACGCGTTGGCCGCCTCCGTGCCCCGCGGCCAGGGCATCGGCACCTGCCCCAGCGGGGTCAGGGTTCAAGACACAAACACAGAGCAGTGCCACAAGTGATTTGGGTAATAGTCTCACATTTTTGTGCAATAGCCTGAGCTGCTCTGGGAAGGGTTGTGCCGGGATGGGGGTCTCCAGCCTGTCCCCGGGCAGAGCTTCTCCCGACAGCCCCGGCCCCACCGCGATCCCACGGGATGAGGGTGGGTGCTGATCCCAGGCCCAGAGATCCCTTCTCCGAAAGGTCCATAGGGTTGCAGGACCTGGGGACAGCGCGACGTCTCCTGAGCGTCAGCATCGTTGCAGACGCGGATGCTCTCGCCCATGCCGAGCTGCCTTTATTCAGAACGGGCCTGTTTTTGAGGAAGCCACTATTTTGCATTTGACTTTTGGTATTTTATTTCTCGTTTTTTCTCTGTGTGGGGGTGTAAAGAGGAAGAGAGTGCCAGTCCCTCCTGGCCGTGCGTTAGCAGCTGCCCACTTCCCCTTTCGTTTTTCCCAGGCATCCGGGGTGCTTGCAGCATTGGGGGGAGCAACGAGGCTGGTCAACCCCCACTCCTTACAGAGCATTTTCCACTGGGGTCTTTTCCTGACAAACTAGGGCCAGCCGCCCCGCACAGTGAGGACGGGAATGGTAGAGCGTATCTGCTGGCATAGCTGGAAGCGTCAATAAGTTCTAACCGTGGTGGCAAATAAAGTCTGTGCTAATTTGTTCACGTCTTCCTGTGCAGTTAATTTGCTAGGGCTGCTGAAGTGGCGCTCAAAGCCCAGCCTCCTGGCTGGGAACCTCCAGAAGCTGATGAATGTGGATGGAGGGGAAGTCATCAAGGTAAGATGAGCAGCTGCTGGGGCCTTTGCTCTCCTCCTCTTCCCTTCCCCGAACCTGCCCTTCGTGTCCCCACGTCTGCGGCTTTCTCGCTCCCCCAGCGGCAGAGGGATATCGATGCTCGGAGGGGAGGGTTGGCAGCAGCGCGCTGCAGGTGTTGCACGGGCAGTGTCACCGTGGCAGTTTTAGGACAGATCAAGCTGGGGAATTGTCTCCTGGAACAGGGCTGGGAGCTTCAGACTGAGAAAAGCTGAGAAAATAACACAGAAAACAATTCTGCCCCAAGACAGATCTTTCCCTCTGTCAGAGATGGATCCAGGATGATGCTGGAGTTAACGCTTAAGCCCTCAAACCCCCTTTTTCTCCTCCAGTTCCTCCAAGACACTTTGGATGCTTTGTTCTCCATCATGATGGAGAATGCGGACACGGATGTCTACGACACCCTTGTCTTTGACGCCCTGGTGAGTAGGTCTCTGTCTCCCCTGCGTCGCTCTGACCACAGGTCTGACCTGCCAAGCAGCTTTCCACCAGCCTCATCCGCTCAGGTGTCTTCAGCCTTCCCTGGGCAGGCGGAGGGAAGCCCAGCATTTTGCTCTGATCCAGCAGACAAATTACCAGAGATGTCCAAAAGAGCGTAAGACTGAGGGGGTTTTTGAGATGGGATTTGCTGGATCTGATCAGGCACGCAGCGCTGAGAGCCGTCCAGCCACGTCTAGGCCGCTCCCTGGGCTGAGCAGAGCCTGGACCCCCCGGCTCTGGGCAGAGGCCGTGAAGGTGGCTGGACTCTCCAGGTGAGGACAGCAGTAGCTGCAGTTCGAGCAAAGCTCAAAGGTATTTTCTCTAGAACAAGCAGTGAAAGCAGCGTCAAGAGACAAGCGTGATCCTAGCGGACAGCCCGGGGAGCGTCAGGCCAGAGCAACTGCTGCGCTCCCGCCCGAGACACCGGGCACCGGTGACGGCATGAGCTCTGGGCAAACCGGCCGGGAAGCATC